TGTAGGGTCAAACGTCTGCATTAAAGCGGAGATCCTGCTGTTTTTATTTATTTATTTATAGATTACATTGCATTTATCAAAGCCAAGTGTACATGTGTAAGCCACATAATTGGCTTATAATTGGTGCGTTAAAGACAGGAGTAGATATTGAAAGCAAACATGTTGTCAATATGTTAATGGCAGGCATATACATCACAGCGTCAGGTCGCAGGCAACAGCGTCAGACTTAGTGGTCGCAGGCGAGTGCCTCAGACTTAAGACGAGTCGCAGGCGAGAGCGGCAGACTTAGTGGTCGCAAGACCCGGTCGCAGTTATAGTGGTCGCAGTCTTAACAAATCTCAATATAAACACTTGAGCAGAAAGTCATAGGGATAATATTATTTATTTCGAAAATGGCAAGTATGTATGATACAACGGCAAGTATGTTTTATACATTGTATGAACAGCCTTCTAAAATAGACAAGAAAGTACACTAAAAGTTCCCTTTTGAAAAAAAATAATTAAAATGACGGAGAAATGTACAATATCACAGGCGCAGTTTTGGATCTAGTTTCGGTTGTATTTCCTAATAGTTTTAGGACTGGATTTCACAAGTTCAGGAAAACAAATTAGGAATTGATAAAAACTCCTGAATATTCAAAACTTTATCCAATGAAATTTTATTACCAACTTTTTTCAGGATGCCTACGTTCCGAAGGCATTCAGAGGGATAATCGATTTTACGATGTTTACAGTCAAAACACAAATTATCAAAAATTCTAGCAATCCAGGCCAAATTGACGTACTACGATTCGTATGGACTGGTGATATCAGTTGGCTCTATTTAAAAAAACATGATTTACGAGTATTTTACTATTTAGAGTTGGTATGGACAGAGGACACGGCCCTCTGGATTGGGGTTTCGATATAAAATTACGATTTCCGCTACGACAACCTTGTAATTTCCGCTCGATACCCTTAAACCACTCCAGAGGGTCGTGAATGTATTGCAGTGTCAGCGTACTGGGAGCCTGGGATAAACCAGATTTTCTCGCCCATGAGTGGTAGCATTTATTATTTTTGTTCGTAGCTTGCAGAACACAAATTGTTACCGGATACGCATATGCTTTTTATACACGAGGATAGGTGGTTTTCCGTCATGGTCTCTGCTATCGTGTCTCAGTCTACGTTGTTTATGCAATAGGCCCAATATGCTTCATATTGCGAAAATTGTTGAAACAATGCAATCCAACGCGTCTGCGATGAGCACTTCGTATGCTGTGTATTAATACTTGTATTAACGAATTGTACCTCCTGTTGGTGCTATTTTAATCACACGTGTGAAAGTTGCATTTGTGCTAGATGATTGACAAAAATCCTGCAACATGATTTTAGATAACAATGAAACTATGAAAGTATGAAACCGGTCTTAGAATTTAAAATTTGCAGTTTGTCCGACACCACATTGAGCTTGATCAATCTAATTCGGCCCCACCGTCTCACTGCCGTTCGGCTGTCAGTGTCAGGCTTGTACTGGACAATGGTCGAGCACTAGTTAGGTACTCGCATTAGTCTTCTTCAGAATTTCGATGCAGAAGATAGAGTATTTATCAAATATAGAGAGTTCGGAATATTTCCTCATTTTAGTGTCGTCGCATGTTCCGTCAATTCGATGAATCCAATTTAATTACCGGTCAAGCAATCACTAATGACAATACGCGTGCGAACTGCATGATATTGCTGAATGTTGGCTGTGGCTGTTGCAAATTATTGCCATTATAGATGTACTATGTCATGTGTATAAATATTCTAAAAATAAAGTAGGGGCGGCGCGAGAATACACGATTATCGTGTTGTGATGTTGTGTTTTGCCATTACAGCTGGCGAAAGACCTCTCCAATTAACGTTTTGTATTTGGATCCGATGATTTTCTTTGTCTCGTGCTGTCACCCGCCGTCGTTGACAAATTAGCAAGACTGACCAGACGAATTTGAAGACCATGCAAGCAGGCTCCAACCACGAGTAAATGATGAAGTTCGACATTTGGGCATTACATACCGCTACATACTACTTGCCAATAGGCTTTACTTGCAAATACGACGAATTGGTCGTTTTTGGACTGTAAGCATGCCAATTAACTTTGCGGCCTTAGACTTTTTGTCGCCGGGTCTTTTGGAGATAGAACTCTCAGATTCGAGGCAAGTTCTGTACGATCAGAAGTACAGCCTTAAGGTACCAACGGGACCGGGTCAGCATAGAGAGTTCTGGGTAGCACTTGAGACACCTTTACAAATCCTGGATGTTGGAATTTATCAGACTGTCGAGATCACAGTCTGTTTCTTCCGACCCAGTACGGGCAGCAAACCGATGCAGGTAACCACTCGACGCCGAGTTTACACCCCTGCGCACTATCTGTTGTGGTGTGACTTCTACCCATTCAGCGATCAACGTCAAGGGCTTGGCCTGCTCACAAGAGCAAACCGTCTCGATATGGGGTACGTCCGCCGCATCATTGTCCGCCTACAGTGCAACACAAATATGCCAGATTTCTGGACTGAAGGTGAGCATAGTATAATAGAAATGTAGATTAAAATTCGACGTGAACGAGACCAAGTTCAGTATTTGATTTCCATTACAGTCGAGCTCCGTAGTGGTATGCTGACCTATCTTTCTGTAGTACATTAATCTGTATGCGTAATATCTTCGTACCTTCTTTCATGCCACTTCCGACAACTCCTACAATTATGGATCACGAGGGTCGGTTAGAGGGACCAGTGGCACGGGAGAAGGTGCGTGCGAAGTGTTTAGAATAGGGTATATGTAGCAGTATAAAAGGATAGGTCAGCATACCACTAGAGAGTTCGATCGGAATAACTATTAAACATATAGGAGATTGATCTGCTTTGAAATTGAACTTGGTGATCGTCGTTCAAAGGACACACCGCCTGTTCTCGACTAATACTAATAATTTAGAAAGCGCTGATGTATATTCTGTATGTATTTTTAGCACCATACACAGATTTTCCGCTGTTGGAAATTGGCCATCGAGCCCCAATGTCTGTCATCGCAGCCATGAGCGAGGCGACTGGTACGACGGAGATTCCCACATGCAAATACTTCGATACGAGTGACATAGAAATACTCATGAAAGAGCTTGACACAACGTCTGATACATTCTTGATACCTAAAGGATACACCGATTATGAGCGTCGCGGAGTACAGTTTAACGTTACTTACAGTAGGAAGAGGATCATGAGACCTTCGTTGCAACATGCATTATCGAGGTTCAAGGGATACGTCCGTATCATTGAATTGAGACACGAGGCGTGTGGCGTGCTCACTGTGGATTATATCATTCGCAAAAGTCTCGCAACTCAGTATATGATCCGGGAAGCTGGAGGTCGACTTCGACGTATATTCATCTTGCAGCAGAAGGCCAATATTGAACTGTTCGCTAAACTCGAATGATCGTGCGCAACACAATCTACAGACTACGACGAGACGCACCTACCATATTCCTACAACACTTCCGCTCCGTTTACAGTAGAATGTGTGCGTCTAGTACTGTGTACGTCAATACCCTTAAGGAGAGAACGGTGTCTGCCATATTCGTGTCAGCTGGTTTAATCTGCACAGCAACATGCTTATCATAAAAAACGTGCACCATTTTCTTCCCAAATATATTGATCTAGACATTACTATACATAATCTAAAGATTGCACTCATTTTCGCGATCTCTGCAATACTCTGATGTCCACAAACACCCGTTACCACAGTCATATTCGAAAAAGAGCGAAGCACCTTTAGACTAACAGTATTCATCGGAAACGCATGTTAATGATCTCACATCCAAGAGCATACATGCTATACTATTGTGTTTCATAGTGGACTATGAGCTGTCTCTGATAGCGGCGGAAGAACTTTTCTCGACATACGCTGTGTGTTCAAATATCACACGGGGGTGCAACTCTCCCCTTTGCACACAATCCTAAAACTAAGAAGCGTGTGGACAGAGTACTTATACATAATTTTGTACTTGCAAGTCTCGTTATGCAGTAGTGTGCATTCATTCAAGCATGAGGGACGTCCCCCTTAACTCTTTATGGTACATAAAACTTTCAGCTAGACGGTGTGCTTTATTACACTAAATACTAACAATTGGCACAAGGCTTTCTAGTACTAGTATTTGGATTGCAAATCCAAGGACCAAGTGGCTCTGAAGGTCCCTACACTCAACAGCTTGCTGCATCTCCGCTGCACACATGCACATGTGAGCTGCAATCTGAGCACAACAGATCAGCTCGCTCAGCCATTATCACAGACAAGCCAGTATCACAGCCAGGACGTATCCCTAATCGATATACCGTACACCCGTACGTAACCACTTAGAGATGTACATGTATGTGTGCAAGCATCTATGATCCAAGCGATCTGTGCATGTGATCGCCATATCCATATCGGCATCTGATTGGGCGTAGCGTACGACATCTCCGCCGTTGCGCTGCAAATTCAGCGTAAGAGATCCGATTGGTCTGCCATCATCACAGACAGCACGCAATCACTGATAGATATACCAGGCACCTGCACAACGGCGCCTGGAAATGTGCGTGTGAGTTTGCAAGCTTCTGTCTGATTGGTACGCGAGAGCTCCATACTGGCTTCTGATTGGTCGAGCGTCCCGTTTACCGCAAGATTTTGCGGTTGCGTGGACCATTTGTACCTCCATTGGCGGCGTTGTAGCGCATCTAGTGCCGTCCACTCTGACTGCTGTCTTCCTCGTATACATTCCTGATTTTTAAAAAAGAACGAAATTGGATCTCTAATTTTAAGAACCAAATTGAGATAAGCTCAAAGATCAATTCCGAATACACGGAGAACTTTATACCGCTTATCTGTACCTGGGAGTTGCTAAAGTAGAGTACAAAAACGCAGGATCACCATAAAATACGTGACTTAATAAAATACACGTGATAGTGCGATTATTTTGAGAATGTCTGAACTTAATATCATATTTGGATTAAGCAAGCATTGTAAAAAGGTCCATCCAATACTTGTACCTGAGAGCTGTTAAAGTAGGGTACAATGGCGCAGGATCACCATAAGATGCGTGACTTAATAAAACACATGGGGTAGTGCGAGTATGCTGAGATGTCTGATATTTGGATTAAGCAAGTATTATGCGAATGTCCATCCAATGCCAGCTGGTATGTGTGTGGCCGTAGAGTTGTGCACACCTCACTGCGACGGACATACGATACCAGATGACATGCACAACAAGACATCTCCATGAGCATTGGCTGCAATACAGCTCATGATACCATACATGTGACTATATAAGATCGACATAGAGAGGATACAATACACCGACGACGTCTCGGAGAATCGCATGCATGTAACAGTAATAAGACCAGTCCATGCGTATTTATTGTGATGTAGTACGTTGTGAACCATGGTCGTGAGCTCAAACCATCCCCAGTGCATATGTACACAATATACTGGCACTACAGATTAGGGGCAGACAAGTGGTAACTGGCTGGGAAGGAATCAGTGTGAGTATAAACACAAAGTGGTGCTGTGTTCTAAAGATGTATGCATGCATGGTTCCAACAGACCGGGACATCACCAGTGTGTGTGATGGAAGCACGAGGAAGAACTGTTTGCAGAATTGTTAAATAAAGATGTGTGCATTGTTTCACACAGGGGAAGCATGGTGCACGTCCGGAAGCATAAACCTCACACACGGTTGGAGTCTACTACAGAATACGCACACTTCACGCATAAGTACCCTGCACACCTACCTTTTGATGTGTTATTCGGTGTAGATGTGCTTACCTACCTACCAGACCACGCACTATGTCTCTACTCAGCAAGTTGTTGGCGGATACCTTATACCGTACAACCTTACACAACCTTCAAGCATAACATATCTTCTGTACGTAGATCCCAATCCAACTTCATACCGAAGTATTCGTTTACATCCACTCACACAGTCATATCACATGGCACAAACACTCACCGCTTCCTCAAAGAGCCCTTTCACAGAAACGCTCAGTGTAGTGGCGTCGCGAGCCTGGTACGTTCCGGCTGGCAGTTCGGGACATATGGACTGAGCCAGTTGGCCGACAACACTCATATGGCGACTGCAAAGATATGTTAAAGTAATAAGAAAAGGTCAGATGGAGAATGTTGGGGGGAGGTTTATATGAGAACACGAATAGTATGATGAAGGCATACTCACATGTGTGGGGGTATGGGTATTGGAGATTTAGGGAATAAGTGGAGACTGTGCTGAATATAAACGTACACGGGTCAATACGCCGTGTGTGTACATAAGCACGTGTGTGCGCATGTGCTACTACCTACTCAGTAATAGTAGACAGAGCCTGTGTTCAGCTTCGTGTTCATGAATAAACTGTATATATACACATATGCATATGTACCACTCTACCCACTGCCCATGCACAACCTTTAATCAGGATGCAATCCAGCGAATACACTACGCTCGCATACACACCAGTTATTGTCAATCTCTCCTTCAGCAACATGGTACATATATTTTATAGGTGCCAAATACCTACCACCCACTTCACCGATGTATCGTATCCACATTCAAATGGGGGTGTTTTCAGATTCTCTTCAGCTACATGCCGTGTGCATACATCTGTGTGCATACATGCCCTACTATCCGCTACATCAGTTCAACCATCCCACATGATACAAGCCAGCAAATACACACCGCTCAGACACACACCTGGATGTGTTCAACTTTGATTTCAACAACACACTGGCGAGGCTTAAATGACACCCGTCGGGAAGCTCAGATGCGTACGTGGTGACCTCGTTGTATGTATACGCACTGAAACGCTCACGCTCATGTGTTTGGCGACGGGTTAGATCATCCCGTTGTTTGGTGTGTTGTGTGTACAGGTCTCGCACTTCTTGGGGAGCGGACTCGACAGGCTGCATTCCGGGTCTCTGCTGTGGCATAAGCATCAGAATAGGTGTTCGTCGGCATAGGAATAGAGTGCACGATACGTATGTGCGGATACACAGATAATCAAACAAATCTGAGACCATGTGCAGGTGATCTTCGGTGATGGGTTGTGGTTTCTGGCTCCTCACGCATGACAGGTCTTAGTATAGGGCTGCTACAATAGGCGTATGTGCGCGTACACACATATCCAACGATGCATTCGAGCTTTATATATGTCGTACATTCTAAGCACTGGCATGTATATCTGTGCAACTGATACCTATTCTGAAGCAACTTGACATATACACTGATCAACACACATTAGTACGCAATTTGATTACCCGCCTGCTTACATATACGTAAGCAACTATGTTTGACTCACATATGTGTGTATATATTTATCAGTCGAATACTCGTATGTACAAGGATATAATATACGTAAACAACTATATTTGACTCACATATGCGTGTATAAATTTATCAGTCGAATACTCCCATGTACAAGGATATAATATACGTAAACAACTATATTTGACTCACATATGCGTGTATATATTTATCAGTCGAATACTCGTATGTACAAGGAT